CTTCTGTGGTGTGGCTCTGAGGCTCCTCTCTGTGGGTGTGGCTCTGAGGCTCCACCTTCTGTGGGCGTGGCTCTGAGGCTCCACCTTCTGTGGGCGTGGCTCTGAGGCTCCACCTTCTGTGGGTGTATCCGGGCCTTAAAGCGTGTCAGCATATCTGACCACCCACTGATAATTAATCCATCATGCCTTTGAGTCTTTGGCTGGTGCATTATGGGTAGTCCAGTGAATGTTTGGGCACGTTCAGCAGTGATGTTCTGCTTTGGTGATGTTAATGCGCTAATAACATCCTGTGCTAATCTCTACACTTCAACACACACACTGCAGATCTCACCAGAAACTCTCAGTCACGGTTTGATTCTGATCTCCTTTGTCTCGTCCCTTCAGAGTGTTAATAGAAACAACTGCAGCTGTGAACATGCTGAAACACACACACACACACACACACATTTCTCTCTCTCTTCAGTCTGTTTTGACTGTGATTCTGAATGTTAGATTGTGTTTGATCAAACCGTTTCTGTCTGGAAGAGTCGCGTCTGATGCCATAAAAACACACCCGTGACCCACATTCTGTGTGTGTGTGTGTGTGTGTGCGTGTGTGTTATTGCTTAGCAACAGGAAACGCTACAGTTACTCTGACTCACTTTTGGCAGAATTGTTCATAAACAATTTGGCATGTTCCTGAATTCTGTAGTTACAATGATTTTACTCCTAAGAACAGCTCACCTCTGACTAACCTGTGTGTGTGTGTGTGTGTGTGTGTGTGCAGGGTTGTGGTGTATGTGAACGGCACACTGCACATCACTCAGGTGAAGCAGCGCAGCACAGGTGTGTATAGGTGTGTGGCTCAGTATGGAAAGAACAAACACGTGCATGTGGAGGCAGCGCTCAGGATCGCAGGTGAGACAAAACACACACACTCACACGCACACACACACTTACACTCTCACACACACAAATCAATCCCATTGATGAATCCGAACACATTTTCTCGCATTATGTTGTAATTTAAAATCTTGAATGAATGATATCTGCAGCTGTATTTGACGCTAGTGTTCCTGACAGAGCAGTGTGTGTGTGTGTGTGTGTGTGTGTGTGTGTGTGTGTGTGTAGAGATCAGCGAGATGGGCGAGCGCATGTCTCGGGTGTTGTCGTCCTCCGTCAGGGCGAGTGTGCGGTGCGATCCTCCGCGGGGTCAGCCGGAGCCGCAGGTGTGGTGGGAGCGCGCTGGTGCTCGTGTGGCGTCTGAGGGTCGAGTCTACCAGCGCGACAGAGACCTGATCTTCAGCAACACACACACCTCAGACTCGGGCCTCTACAGCTGCGTCGCTCGCAACCGGGCCGGAACCAAACAGCAGGAGCTCGAGGTCACTGTCGCCAGTGAGTCACACACTCATCTGACCCAACACACACTCATCTGACCCAACACACTCATCTGACCCAACACACACTCATCTGACCCAACACACACTCTGATCTGACCCAACACACACTCTGATCTGACCCAACACACACTCATCTGACCCAACACACACACATCTGACCCAACACACACTCATCTGACCCAACACACACACACACTCATCTGACCCAACACACACTCATCTGACCCAACACACACTCTGATCTGACCCAAAACACACTCTGATCTGACCCAACACACACTCATCTGACCCAACACACACTCATCTGACCCAACACACACTCATCTGACCCAACACACACACACACACACACTCATCTGACCCAACACACACTCTGATCTGACCCAACACACACTCATCTGACCCAACACACACACAACACACACACACTCATCTGACCCAACACACACTCTGATCTGACCCAACACACACTCTGATCTGACCCAACACACACACTCATCTGACCCAACACACACTCATCTGACCCAACACACACTCATCTGACCCAACACCACACACACACACACACTCATCTGACCCAACACACACTCTGATCTGACCCAACACACACTCTGATCTGACCCAACACACACTCATCTGACCCACACACACTCATCTGACCCAACACCACTCATCTGACCCAACACACACACCACTCATCTGACCCAACACACACTCTGATCTGACCCAACACACACTCATCTGACCCAACACACACTCATCTGACCCAACACACACACTCATCTACCAACACCACACACACACACACACTCATCTGACCCAACACACACTCTGATCTGACCCAACACACACTCATCTGACCCAAACACACACTCATCTGACCCAACACACACTCTGATCTGACCCAACACACACTCATCTGACCCAACACACACTCATCTGACCCAACACACACTCTGATCTGACCCAACACACACTCATCTGACCCAACACACACTCTGATCTGACCCCAACACAACTCTGATCTGACCAACACACACTCTGATCTGACCCAACACACACTCTGATCTGACCCAACACACACTCTGATCTGACCCAACACACACTCATCTGACCCAACACACACTCATCTGACCCAACACACACTCATCTGACCAACACACACACACACACACACACTCATCTGACCCAACAAACACTCTGATCTGACCCAAACACACTCATCTGACCCAACACACACTCTGATCTGACCCAACACACACTCTGATCTGACCCAACACACACTCATCTGACCCAACACACACTCATCTGACCCAACACACACACACACTCATCTGACCCAACACACACTCTGATCTGACCCAACACACACTCATCTGACCCAACACACACTCATCTGACCCAACACACACACACACACACTCATCTGACCCACTACACACTCATCTGACCCAACACACACACACAACACACTCATCTGACCCAACACACACTCTGATCTGACCCAACACACACTATCTGACCCAACAAACACTCTGATCTGACCCAACACACACTCATCTGACCCACACCACACACTCTGATCTGACCCACACACACTCATCTGACCAACACACACACACACTCATCTGACCCAACACACACTCATCTGACCCAACACACACACACACTCATCTGACCCAACACACACTCTGATCTGACCCAACACACACTCATCTGACCCAACACACACTCATCTGACCCAACACACACACACACACTCATCTGACCCACTACACACTCATCTGACCCAACACACACACACACACACACACACTCATCTGACCCAACACACACTCTGATCTGACCCAACACACACTCTGATCTGACCCAACACACACTCATCTGACCCAACACACACTCATCTGACCCAACACACACTCTGATCTGATCCAACACACACTCATCTGACCCAACACTCTGATCTGACCCAACACACACTCATCTGACCCAACACACACTCTGATCTGACCCAACACACACTCTGATCTGACCAACACACACTCATCTGACCCAACACACACTCATCTGACCCAACACACACACACACACACTCATCTGACCCACTACACACTCATCTGACCCAACACACACACACACTCATCTGACCCAACACACACTCTGATCTGACCCAACACACACTCTGATCTGACCAACACACACTCATCTGACCCAACACACACTCATCTGACCAACACACACTCTGATCTGACCCAACACACACTCATCTGACCCAACAAACACTCTGATCTGACCCAACACACACTCATCTGACCCAACACACACTCTGATCTGACCCAACACACTTATAGTAACTGACACACACACACTGATCTCAAAGTTGCTCAGTTCTCAATGTACCTCGAACTGCCTTAAATGCTCGAAGTGACTGTTACAGTGAGTGTGTGTGTGTGTGTGTGTGTGTGTTGTGTGTGTTGTGTGTGTGTGTGTGTGTGTGTGTGTGTTTACAGCCTCTCCAGAGTGGATTGTGAGGCCGCAGGACACACACATCGAGGAGGGTCAGCCGGGTGTCCTGCACTGTC